GTATGAAAAGAAGCAGGAAACTCTGAGCTGTTCGCCACTTTAACAGCAGTGGGAGAAGTGGAGCGTGAGACGGGCCGTTAATGACTCCATTTTTCGTTATTTTTAATCAACCATGGCCATCAAGGCACTCGACTGATTACTGACAGCCTCTGTTTTTGTTTTGTTTTAACATTAGAAACTTAGGCGCGTGGAAAACTCGAGTTTGAAGAGCCTGCGCGTGTGTGAAAGAGTTGGGCGTGAGGCGTCGTCGGGGTGGCTCCCTCATTTAAACCACTTGTGATTTCACATGAGATTTCTTTCTTCCTCGCATTTTTTTTTAACTTCTTCGACTTCTTATATCGTTTGAAAGCGTTCGAAACTCCAGAAAGATGGGGTGCACCCTGAGCTCGGACGACAAGAGCGCCCAGGAGAGGAGTAAAATGATTGACAAAAACCTGCGGGATGATGGAGAGAAAGCGTCGCGAGAGGTCAAGCTGCTGCTGCTGGGTGAGTTAGCCGCTCCGCTAGTCAATAGGCCCATTAAAGTTCTCTTAACTGCACATATAAGAGACTTTAGCACTAGATTTAATATTTCAATAAGCTATGAGTGGAAAATGAAGCACTCAAGTGCATATTCAAAGACGCTGGAAACTTTTCTGTTCCTAGTTATAGTGCTGGTGTCTCGGCTAGCATATGAAGCTAATTAACTCGGTTCATTTTCATTTTCACTCGAATCAGAAAACACTGTTTTTAATAGTTTAATTTATATTTCTATGCAGTAGAGACGAATTAATTGCGTAAGTGATTTTATTTGGCTGTGTTCTGTCTTTTAGTTTGGCCTTGACCTTTTCAAAGTAACGTTACAGGTTTGCATATTCGCCAAGTGGCCAGTTAGACGCAAACGGCGCTCAGATAATCCAGCCAACAAAAGACTAGTTTAATCCAATTTAATCCGAATTGCCTGATTTACGGAGATAGATCTGATAGATTACCCTAAACCTCATCCAATTATGATAAATGAGCTTGTGCATATGGAGGGTCCTGCTGGGTGCTTGGAGTAAACTGGATGCTAGATGGGCTTAAAAAGTGGTCCTGGTGGTTTTTCAGATATCACGAGTCTGGAAAATCTTAAACATGAATGTATGATTTGATTTATTAATTAAATAGATTTTCCAACACACAGCTCTTAAATAATCTAGAGTAGATATAAAGAAATATTTAATCGGCAGATATTGTTTATTAATTAATTGATAAATTAATTTATTAATTTATTTGCATTTAGACAATGGCTATCCCCCTTAGAATATATATATATATATTAAAAGCCCCTTATAGATTTAGATATTGGCAATAACAACATTTTCATATGTGAAATCCTACAATTTAATGCAGTTGCAGATTATATCTGTATATATATATATATATATATATATATATATATATATATCTGTATTATATCTTATAACAATATCTGTAGTTAAGTTTTTTTCTATTACGTTAAAGCAGTCAACTTGTAAATTCATTGTGATTTACATAGAGGCCACTCGTTTCTCAGTTTCTGATTCCTGTTTTGCATGTTTCTTCTGTACTTTTCCAGTATTTGTGTGCAAGCATTTTTCAGGACATTGACTAGTGAAGTCAAACTATTTATTCGCTTGTGATTGTTTTTGTTTTTTTTTCAAACAAAACGCATTTGTTTGCTTTTCTTGATTATCGATGGTGTGTGCAGCTTAAACATAATATTTGTTTTACAGAAAGTGTCACAAACTCCCTAAAGAGAAGCACTTGGTGACGTTTACATGCAGTACGCAGGTGTAGATTATATCTGTATATATATATATATATATATATATATATATATATATATCTGTATTATATCTTATAACAATATCTGTAGTTAAGTTTTTTTCTATTACGTTAAAGCAGTCAACTTGTAAATTCATTGTGATTTACATAGAGGCCACTCGTTTCTCAGTTTCTGATTCCTGTTTTGCATGTTTCTTCTGTACTTTTCCAGTATTTGTGTGCAAGCATTTTTCAGGACATTGACTAGTGAAGTCAAACTATTTATTCGCTTGTGATTGTTTTTGTTTTTTTTTCAAACAAAACGCATTTGTTTGCTTTTCTTGATTATCGATGGTGTGTGCAGCTTAAACATAATATTTGTTTTACAGAAAGTGTCACAAACTCCCTAAAGAGAAGCACTTGGTGACGTTTACATGCAGTTTCATTCATTTCGAAGAGCTGGAAAGTTTGGTGTGTCCATTTCCCTTGCAAACAATAATGGTCAAAGTTTCACTTAGATCTGGCAGTTTAATTATCCGTTTATTGTGCAGACCATTTTCCCATTGGTCCCGTCTTTTCTTGCTGTGTAAATTGTTAGAGGACATAAAACCTGCCCTTACGCCATCAAACTTTAGGGAATTGGTGTGTAATTATCTAGCTAACTGGATTCCCCCTATGTGCTGATTCATTATACGCCCTCTGTGTGCTGCCGCCTTGGGTTTGTTTGCTTTTTGGCATTGCGGATCAACAGCATATGTCCCTATGCCTGCTGTAAAACAGGCTGGAGTTCCTGTTTAGACTATAGAGTGGACAAATGGTGACTGCCAGGGTTGTTACTAAGAATAAATCCACTGCTGTGAAGAGAAAGTACCTTCATGGGTGGTTATTCAAAGAATTTTGTGTCGCAAAAGCCAATGAGTGTCACAAATGCTTATCAAAATGTAATAATTCAGTGAAGATGAGCACGTCTTCACGGTATAGAGCGTGTTGATCGTGAGTCTCAGGCAGTTGTTATTGGGGCCTTTCACACCGCTTTAGTTCCAGAACTAAATGTACCGTACTAAAGTACTGGGATGATTTTGCGCGAACTATTTTCCAGTACCATTTAAAGGGTTACATTCGCACCGAGAGTGTGTACTAAGAAGTGACGTAAGCCGGTCGACAGCGTCGTCATTTGTGCGCGGCGTTCAACAACAGAAACAAAAAAGAACAACATTAACAACAGGAGGATGGAGGACGCTGTGATCGGAGCTGTGTTTTTGTTGTCTTGCGGGTTTCACAATAATGGACATGGAAAGTCGACGTATACGTAAAGCGATTGAAAGAACGGAAAGGAGGACTAAGAATCTCCAACGACAACTGGCAGTGCTACATTTGCTACAAGTGCCTGCACTTCAGCGTCCGTCCATCTATCGCTGTTCTCCATACTTGCGAAATAAGTTGACAAAATGTTTACAGTATGTTTACACGGCGTTTTAAATCATGGTGGGTGAGGGTGTTTTCGTACGCGTTTGGCCAATCAATGTCTACTTACGTCACGATTAGTACCAGTTGTGCTGGTTAGACCCTGCTCCGGAGTAGGAGCTAATTTGGTTCTCGAAAAAGGCAGTCCGGTACTAAAATCGCACCCAGTTCCGGCGGTGCGAAAACGCCAAAAAGTGGGTAGTTCCACAGTTAGTTCTGGTACTATGAAAAGGTTCCCGCGGTGCGAAAGGCCCTATTGGTTGCCCAGGAACCACAGAGCCAGTCCAATTTTAGTACCATAAACGCAGCCGCAGGACACCTAACAAAAGGTGAAACCAGTGCTTTGGAAGTTAAGTTCAGTGTGTGGCATCAGACACTTGGTTTGATACATCTTAGAATAAAGCAAGCAAGCATCAATATAATTGACAGTGCTTATGATTAAGGATTTGAACCAACCCTTAACCCAAAATATTAAACTTCCAAAGGTTAATATTGAAGTAGGGACCAGAATGTCATACAGACTTTGGCTACTTTTGGCTTGGTGGCTTTAAAGGGGTCATGATGCGATTTCAAGTTTTCCTTTCTCTTTGGAGTGTTACCAGCTGTTCGTGAATAGATAAGATCCCTAAAGTTGCGAAGACTAAAGTCTCAAACCCAAAGAGATATTCTTTATAAAAGTTAAGACTGGTCCAAGCCCTCCTAAAACGCCTCGTTTAAACATGCCCCCACATGTCTACATCACTGTGTGGGAAGATTTGCATAACGCTGCCCAAATGTTCACGCAAAGAAAGAAGGCGTAACTTTATTGTTGCTGCCGCCGCCATGTAGTGAAGACGCTGTGTGTTTCGTTGCGAAAGCGAAACTACTTTTTTTGGCCTTCCAAAAGAGGACACAACTAGAGTGGTTAAGTTGTATTTACAACACTGTTCCAGAACAGTTCAACCCAAATATTCAGATGTGTGCAGCGCATTTTACGGAGGACG